AGTTAGTGGAGTAATAGCGTGAAATTCTGGCTCCGTTGAAAGTAACAGCAAAACTCCTATTGACTTCATCAGGGCCAAGATTTCACCCATAATGGTTTAAAACTGGCCCATAACCTGTTGTGTGTGTTGGTGCTGGACTATCATGCTTCATTCCTAATTATATCCCAGTTTTTCACCAGTCTGCAACTGGGCCCCAGCATTCTGCTGTGTTGGAGCCAACCTGGGGCTGGAAATATCATGTCTCGTTGCAAATGACCCCCATTCTCCAGCACTTATTTTATAAAGAGAGTCAGTCCCCTCTGTTTTAAAATCTGAGTCCTGGTTTAATCAGCTCAGGAGCGTGGCAGTAGATTTAGCATGGAGGTGACGCACTCCGGGATGAATAAAGGTGGGCCAAGAAGTAGTGCTTTATACCCAGCACCCATATAGCTACCACGCTGTGCCCCACCAGGGGGAGCTATACAAAGATGGGGCAGGGGAATGGAATAATTGTTCCTATCTGGGCCGCAACATTCTACCTTCTGTCCTCATTAGCCTGCTTTTTCACACGTTTGTGACTGGGGCCCTGCATGCTCATTAGCCGGCTGGATGTAGGGGAGTCAGAAGCTATGGGGTATATGATCAATACAGAAGACCACCAGGAAGCCACCCAACCGAAAGAAGGCAGCCATACACCTAGCAGGAACACAACGAGGCAATGGGACCTGGGCTCGAAGACCAGCATATTTATGAGGCTGCAGTGGGCTGGTGGTAAAGGCCCTGTTCCTGCACAGGCTCTGTGTGCTAGTGAGCTCTGGTTTGTTGAAAGGAAAGACAGACGTGCCAACTCACAAATGGATCACGAGAGACGCGACTTGTGAGGAAAATGAGGCCTTGCTCACGATCTCGCGATTCAACTCTCAAATGTCAGGATTTTAAAAAAAATTTCCAGCCCTGGCACAAATGTGTTTCCAGTCAGACAGGAATTACCCCACTCTGAACAAAGGAATGTGGTTTCTCCACCAGGCAGTTAATTCCAAAGTAGCTTGAAAGACAATGAAAATTCATTTATATATCAGAAACAAGGTCCTCCAGCTAACTGGGAGGGACAAGAGACAGCGTGGCTACACCCCAGCAGGGATGAGAAACTTCACCTGAGAGAGAAGGGGGTGGACCTGCCCTCAAATGAGCAGTTGAATAAACTGAAAAGAAAAAAACCCCTGACATCTGAGAATTCTAAAAGTGAGACTTAATTTTACTTAGAAATCCTATCAGCTTCCCCAGGGGTGGCTGGGACTCCAGCTGTCAGTCCTGGGTGTCTGCTCCCCTGCCATCCTGGAAAATGGGTGAGGGGACCCCACTGCTGCCCCCGGCCTGGGGAGGGTGAAGAACCTTAAGAGGAGCAGAGCTGAGGCTGGGAGGGCTGCAGGGAGGCTGAAGTGAGGAGGGTGGGGGCTGATGGGGTGAGTGGTGGGAGGGTGAACTGAAGCCAGTGGGGTCAATGGGGTAGAGGGGCTGAACTGATGGGGTGGGGATGATGGAGGCTGGGGGGCTGAACTGAGGGGAGTTGAGTGGGGAGAGAACTGGTGGGGGATTGAGGGACAGGATTAATCACTGGGCAGGAGACAGGCAGATGTGGGGGTGAGAGCTCCTGCAGCAGGGGACAAAAATCACCTATAGTACCTGTCGAAGTGTGAGCAACACTATTGTCACATGCACACACCCTGGGGATGGGCAAGGGGAGTTCAACCATCAAGAGACCTAAAAACCACAATCAAATCTTTTTGTTTTTTTTTTTAATTCTTGATTTTTGGGCCAATCTCATGATTTTGGGGGGTCTGACTCATGATTTGTGATCTCTTGAAGTTGGCAATACTGGAAAGGTGGAGCAGACATCACGGAGCATGGCAGGAAGAGCACACGCTGCAGGATGGAGGTGTTTGGAGGAGGCACTAGGCAGGCCATTCGTCTGGTTTTAAGCTGGGACAGTTCTGCTTTTCTAAGGTGTGCCCCCTGTCCCAGATGTGGTTTTGTCTGGCATTGGATGGGGGATGCCATGTTGAAGAGTGCGCCACTCCAGACTCCACCCTCACTGGCGTGACCTCACCGCTCTTCACATTGATGTCCTTCGGGCGGCGCAGGTCACGCCAGCAGGCGTCGGGTCATGCAGGTGAGGGTGGGGTGGCCCAACCTGGCAGGCCCATACCATTCCCAGGAGCACTGCAATGTCCAGTAGTCTGGGGATGTGTGAGTGATCACCCTAGGCGGCCGTAGGAAGTCAGTTTGTGTGTGCATGGCTGGAATAGCTTGGTAAATAGTTGTAATAAAGAGCCAATTTAGTTTAACAAGCATGGAGCCCTCCCGTTATTACCTAGCACGGGGCACATGAAGCTAGTGGTGCCATGGTTCCTCCACCCCCTGCTGACTGTGCTGGATGCCTGGGGCACTCCTGGCTGAATCCCTCCTGGGGCTCGGGGGCGGGGGGGGACACGCTGCAGCCTTGTAAGGGCTCTTCCTGCTGCGGCGTACACTCCCCCCACAGCTCCAGTGTGGCTGGGTCTGCCAGGCCTCTCCCAGGGTCTGTCGCTGCAGTGCGGCTCTTTCCCACCACCTGCAGGGCTCCAAGCCAATTCCTGCCCCACAGCGACTGCCATTGTCAATACAAACCAGCCACAGGCATGGAGCTTTTGAGTCTGTGTCATTGCACGGTAGCGCCAGCAGAGGGCAGCGCTGGCACAGGAGTAGGTCAGCCAGTGACACCTCCGCCTCAAGGTTTGCAAAAGAACGGGCAGGTGCAAAGGGGTCCAGATCAGCGGTTCAGACTCTGCCCCAGCGGGGCCCCTGGCCGCTCTCAACTGAGTCTCACTGGCAGGAATTGGGGTGGGGAGGGGAGGGCTCGTGCTGCTGCTGTTCCTATTGCACCCGCTGACGGAGAGAGCAGATGGGTCTGCAGGGCTGACAGTGGCCAGGCTCGCTCCAGACTGTCCTGATCACTTAGCGTGCCCCTGTATGATGACATTAGAAGACAGGCCTGGAGGAGGCTGCCAGGGACCCCACTCTGAACAAGAGCCTTGTTCCATCCCCATCTCAGGGGACACTTACTTTCAGCGCTCCCACCACGGACGTGCACACACTTCTCACTGGCCGCGGCTGTATGGGCCTTGTGAGGGATGGAGCCTCCAGGGGAGGATTAGGAAGCCTGTGTCCCTCCTCGTGTAGGGGGCTGAGAAGGTGACCAATGCCCCAGCCCCATTCCTCCTCAGGAGCAGGAGAGCTCTCCCCTGTAGCCCAGCCCGCCTGGAAAGGGGTGAGGCATTTAAACCCTCTTGGCCAGCCTCTTCCAGCAGCAGTGCGGTTGGGGACAGCTGCTCCCTTTGATTTCTTCCTTTCCCACTGTCCCCAAAAGCCAGCCAATCTGCTATTGGAGTTAAGTGCCTGATCTCAGCAGCCCCCCCATCCTCTCCCCTTCTAGGCAGAAGAGCTTTTTAAAGCCTTAGTCTCTGTCCCACCCGCCCCCAGTGCGCGCACACGGCTCCCCACCGACCCTCTGCTGTCACCAGGCCCTTCCAGCTTCTATTCTGCAGGCTCTAGAGTTGCTGATTATTTAGCTGTTCGAACCTCCTCCCTCCCCGTGTTGCCCCTGTAGATCTTCAGGCCAGGGCTATGGCTTTTCTGGTTGTTTTAGAAAGCACCCAGCCCACTTTGGGGCCTTGCGTATACACAAATGGTCGTGCTTCTGCCAGGAGAACCAGGATTGAGGGGAAACCAGGGGCTTTGAAGGGGTGGATTGGAACCATTTGTCATATTGATCCTCGCCTGTTGCATTGTGTTCTAAAGCTTCTTTGTATATGGCTTTACGTGCCCCTTGATTACATTGTAAGACCTTTGGGACAGAGACTTATTTGCCACTTTTCATCTATTACTCATGTGCCATGCTGTATAACCATGAATACTCTGTTATTTGTGTGGGACTCCTCTGCTTGCAGGGGTTCCTTTGACTGATGGCAACTGCCTTGCTCCAGGAGAGAGAGACCTGCAGAAAGACTTGCTGGCTTACGTAACTGAGGGAGGGGGAGACTCGAGCTGAGGACATTCTGGGAAATGTAGTCATGCTGCAAACTAAGCCCTGGGAAACGTAGAGTAGGGACAAGATTCAGCTGTTTAACCACTGTAAATCCACAGCAACTCCCATCTACTTCAGGGGTGTTACTCTGGCTTTACAGCGGAGTCAATGAGTGTGGACTTTGGGCCTATTACTTTCTAGAGAAAGTTCCCCAGAATTAAAGAGATGCGGGGTTTTTTCCAGGGCTCCTTCAGTTTTGCTGCTGGGACCAAGCAGTGCCCCAGCCAGCAATGCTCGTGTTGTGGTTTGTCATCTTATTTCAGGGGCGTATGGGTTTGTCTGCTTCTGCAAGCACGGATTATTTTATACCATGATTGTCTCTAATAAAAAATGGATTTTAGATTCCTCCGCTCTCTAGCCTGGCTTCCCATAAACCCCGGGTCAAGTTCAAGGTCTCAGTTCTTCTCTTCAAGGTGCTTGGTGGCCTGGGCTCAGGTTATCTATAAATAGGGGGCTACTTCAATCACAGAGAAATCATACATTTTTCATGGGTTGGTTACGGCATCAATAGCAAATTTTGCGGAGGTGTAACATCTGCAAAATTTGCTATTTATGCCACGACCAAAATGTGTAATTTCTCTGCAGCATTTCTCAAATTGGGGGTCCCAACCCTTGGGTCACAATCCTATTGTAGGGGGGTTGTGGTATTGCCACCCATACAGCAGTGCCACCCAAAGAATCCTTTCTTGATTTCTTACATAACGTGCGTGCATTGAACTGAGAATGTACCAGTGGCTGCCCTGGGTACAATGTTAGATCATCCTCAGCTCCTATATTACAGCGGTGGGCACTACAGAACAACATGAGACAGAACAGGAATGACAGGATTGCCCAAAGTAGGAACAATAAATCCATTTATTTTTTCACCTGAAATTTTAAAATAAATTTTTACCTGATATTTCCACTGTAAAAAAATATTCAGTGACACATCATCAGCAAAGCCACCCCCATCCTGATTACTATGATCAGTCCCCTTAATGCACGTGCCAAGTCCCAAGAGGGAGTAGGTTTTATCCCTCTTTGATTCAGCAGGATACTTCTCAGGAGTTAAATTCTCCATGCTCTGGCTGAGTTAGACTTGGATCCCTTGAGCTTCAAGCTTGAGTCTTTTCTATCAGCTCTTGGCCTGGGCTAACCTTTGCTTCTTCTGCAATTCCTCCATTCGTTGCTTCTGATGTTCCTTCATGCAGTCCTTGAAGGCCTGTACCTGCTGCTGACACTTCCTCCAGTCCTGGTGTTCAGCCATGCACTCCTGCACCGCATAATGGAAAGTGGCACAGCCAGTGCGCAAGATCATTTGATCCAAGGGATCCTCCTCGTCTTCTGACTTCTGGCTCCAGTTGTGACCTTGAGGGCTGGGACCAGGCATCTTGTTGGATCTAAGGAGTGTGGGATCAGAAGAGAGTAGCACAGGGGGAGAAAAATGGCATTAGAAAAATCTGTCACAAAAAACTCAATCATAGGCCTTGTGCCACTGGGGAATCATAAATAAGAAATGATGGGGTGGGAGGGGAGAAGGGCCAGTGGAGACACTGTACTCCCAGCCTTCACTCTGCATATCTATGCCCCCAGCATTCCCTATTGCCGCCCCCACCTTGGCGGGACCTCCCATACTCCTTGTGAATATTTTCCCCTTCCGTAGCATCTTCTAAGGAATTCAAAGAATTTTACAAACATGAAAGATTTAAGTTTCACAATGATCCTGCAGGGTGTCATTCTACCCACCCTGGGGGAAACTGAGGCACTGAGCAATAAAGAGCCTGATTTTCAGAGCTACGGAGTAGCCACACATCCCACTGACTTCAGCTTTGAGTTGTGGATGCTCCGCACCTCTGAAAATTCAGCTCAGACACAATTTGCCCAGGTTACACTGTCAGTCCAGGCCAGTTGAACATCAGTGCTGTGCCTAAATAACAAGGCCATTCTTATTAACTACGATGTTGGTGAAGCGCACTGACTTAGTCATAGAGTGCAAATGGACACGGTATTGAACCCGATACACTGAAGCCCTGTCACAGGCAGATGCTTAATTTGTCATTACCTCAGAGGAATCCACCAGGTGCCTGTCCAACACTTGTATAAAGTATAACTGGTCACACCAATAAAGTATTATCAACTTGAAATTAACAAGCTCTGACGCACTTTATAGCTTATTCCTTTAGCTTGCTGTGCTGCTCCGAGAAGCTGGGGAATGAAGCAGCAGGGGTCAGAACACAGACTAAAGGGGTGATCTATTCTACTAGCGTATCAGCCCAATCAGTTCTCCTGGGATGGAAAAAAATCTATTAGGTCTGTTTCCTAAGAGTACAGGGTTATGACCTACCTACACAGTATATTCTCTAGTGCTTTGTCCAATCTAACTTCAAATGACTCAAACTATTGGATTCTCACTATTTCTCTTGGCAGATTACATGGTATCACTCTTATGGCACTACTGTCTTATAGTGTTCCCATTAGCTATGAACCAGAATTCTTCTTTGAACTCATAAGCATCTGATCCAGTGAACATTTTTTACATGCAAGAACCTAAAAACAGAGCAAAAGAAGTTACTTTGGTTTCTCCTTTAGCTGGCTGACTGATTTTCATGCTGCTAGGTACTCCACATCCTGCCACCACTAGAAATACTAATACAGCTCATAACTCTTAAGAACATCTCGTCCAGTATCCTGTCTTCCGACAGTGGTCAATGCCAGGTTCCCCAGAGGGAATGAACAGAACAGGTAATCATCAAGTGATCCATTCCCTGTTGCCCATTCCCAGCTTCTGGCAAACAGAGGCTAGGGACACCCTCCCTGCCCATCCTGGCTAATAGCCATTGATGGACCTATCCTCCATGAATGTATCTAATTCTTTTTTGAACCCTCTTATAGTCTTGACTTTCACAACGTCAACTGGCGAAGAGTTCCACAGGCTGACTGTGTGTTGTGTGAAGACATATTTCCTTTTGTTTGTTTTAAACCTGCTGCCTATTAATTTTATTTGGTGACCCCCTAGTTCTTGTGTTTTGAGAAGGAGTAAATAACACTTCCGTATTTACTTTCTCAATGCCAGTCATGATTTTATATACCTCCAATAATATCCCCCCTTAGTCATCTCTTTTCCAAGCTGAAAAGTCCCAGTCTTATTAATTTCTCCTCATACGGACGCCATTCCATACCCCTAATTATTTTTGTTGCCCTTTTCTGAACCTTTTCCAATTCTGATATATCTTTTTTCAGATGGGGCAACCACATCTGCACGCAGTATTCAAGATGTGGGTGTATCATGGATTTATATAGAGGCAAAATGATATTTTCTGTCTTATCTTCTTTCTCTTTCTTAATAGATGTATTGGAGCACGAGCTTTCGTGGGTGAATACATGACATGCATCCGAAGAAGTGGGTATTCACCCACGAAAGCTCATGCTCCAATACATCTGTTAGTCTATAAGGTGCCACAGTTCTCTTTGCTGCTTTTACAGATCCAGACTAACATGGCTACCCCTCTGATACTTGACACCCTTTCTTAATGATTCTCAACATTCTGTTCACTTTTTTGACTGCAGCTGCACATTGAGTGGATGTTTTCAGAGAACTATCCACAATGACTCCAAGATCTCTTTCTTGAGTGGTAACAGCTAATTTAGACCCCATCATTTTATATGTATAATTGGGATTATGTTTTCCAATGTGCATTACTTTGCATTTATCAACATTGAATTTCATCTGCCATTTTTGTTGCACAATCACCCAGTTTTGTGAGATTCTTCGCAGTCTGCCTCGGACTTAACTATCTTGAGTAGTTTTGTATCATCTGCAAATTTTGCCACCTCACTGTTTACCCCCTTTTCCACATCATTTATGAATATGTTGAATAGGGCTGATCCCAGTACAGACCCTTGGGGGACACCACTATTTACCTCTCTCCATTCTGAAAACTGACCTTTGTATTCCTACCCTTTGTTTCCTATCTTTTAACCAGTTACCAGTCCATGAGAGGACCTTCCCTCTTATCCCATGGCAGCTTACTTTGCTTAAGAGCCTTTGGGGAGGGACCTTGTCAAAGGCTTTCTGGAAATCTAAGTACACTAAATCCACTGGATCCCCCTTGTACACATGTTTGTTGCCCCCCCCCCAAAGAATTCTAGTAGATACAGGCCCCCCGGCCCCCTCCACCCCCCAGGGCGGGCCCGGCACCGAGGGCCCCCCCCAGCACAGCACAGCACAGCGCAGCGCCTCCTCCGTCCCGAGAGCCCGCCCCGCGCCCCGCCCAGCACTGCCCCGAGCCCCCTGCAGCAGCCCCAGGGTCTCCGTCCCACCCACCCCTCGGCTGCGAGACGCGCCCGGGCCGGGCCAGACACGCACCGGGGTGGTGCGAGCAGCCGCCACCGCTCACCTGAGCGCAGCAGGGCCCCGTCTCCGCTGCCGCCGCCTCGCGGCCCCTTTAAGGATTCGGTGGGGAGGGAGGGGGGAGGCGGCGCTTTCCTATTGGGTGAGCTTTCCCCAGCACTTCCGGGTCAGGAAGTGGCGTTTCCGGTGCCGAGGGAAGATGGCGGCGACTATGCGGATCCAGAGCGACTGGAACCAGGTGCTGAGGTGGGAGCCGCCCCCCCCCCCCCCGCGCTACCCTCCTTAGAGACCGACACCCCCATTTCTCCCGCCCGCGGGGAGCGCCCGCCCTGCCCCCGGCAGTAACACCCCCTGCGCCAGAGCCCCCCTCTCCCGGGGGAGCGATACCCCATCTCCCCCACCCCAGAGCCCCCCTCTGCTGGGGGAGCGATACCCTATCTCCCCCACCCCAGAGACCCCCTTTCCTTACCCTTCCTCTGTGCGTCCTGGCTGTCCTGCTCCCTCCCCGGTGCTGCTGGTCTGGTCTGTAAGTAACAGGCCCTTTGTGCTTCTCTACAGGAGGAATGAAGGCGAAGCCTGGCTGAGCTGCAGGAGCCCAGGTGAGTGGCGACTCCTCCGCCACTGAAAGAGACTTCCTGGCCCTGAGATGGGTGATGCACTTAACATGATGCATTATACATGGAGCTGGGGGGGCATATAGGGGTGAAGCACTTTACCTGCCCATGAAAAAGGAAATGTGTGGGTGGTGACACCCCCACCAAGCTCTATACAGCCAGATTTCACCTCTTGCCCTGCCCTGCCCTGCCCTTTGTTCTGTGTTCCTGGAGAGTGGCCCCAAAGGAAGATCATATACACACCCTGAGCCCTGTGCTGACCCAAGAAACTCAGAGCTGGGTGTCTGCCTGCACACATGAAGCCCTCCTGCTCTCCTTCAAGGGAGTTGGAGCTGGGGTTGGAGCATGTTTCTGCTGAGCTCTTTAGAATAAATCTTAGAGAGGGAAAAGCCCTGTTACATCAGAGTTTGCAGCCATAGTGTAGTCCTTTTGGTTCGTTCAGGGTACAAACTTACAATTAGTCAGTTGAGTCTGTAGTCTAGGTGTGTACCAGGATTTCTCTTCACTGCTTACCTCTCACATAGCGGCATCTGCAAGTAACACTATCTAGTGGACAAAAACGACTAGGAGTCTGGTGGCACCTTAAAGACTAACACAGTCTTCATGCAGCTGAAGAAGTTGGTTTTTTACCCATGAAAGCTTATGCCCAAATAAATCTGTTAGTCTTTAAAGTGCCACCGGACTCCTTGTTGTTTTTGTGGATACAGACGAACACGGCTCCCCCTCTGATACTTGACCTAGTGGATAATAACTTAACCTCCATTATACCTGCCTTTGTCACTTCTCATCTGGTCTACAGCAGTGCAATATATCTGGACATGAAGCCATCAACCCTTAGAAAACTTCAGGTAGTACAGAAGGCTTCATCAACATGGGCCACTGCAAGACCATTGCATCTGTCCTCCACTCTTTACATTTTCTGTCTATAGAATACGGGATCAAGTACAAGATCTTGGTCTATATCCTCAAGGTGCTCAAATAGTCTGGGCCTAGGATATCTAAAAGAGCCTAAAGTTCTGGGATGAAGAGTGGTCAGCAATTCTGCTTCTCTGACGCAAAGGAGCTTTCTACCATAAGAGTGAAGCTCATCTGTTTACGGGGCTGTGCTTTCTCAGGGGCTGGTCTCAGATTGTGGAATAAACTCCCCCAGGAACTAAGGACCATCACAAACCTCCCCACCTTCTATTTCAAGTGCAGTGCATGCTGCTTTGATCTGCCATCTCTAACATAAACACACAGCAGCATGTATGATTTATAGTAAAAAGCCCTAATAAACCACAGCCCTGTACCACACATGCCTCTCTTTCTGGTAAAAGGAAGTGAGAGAGAATGAACCACATGTAACAGGTGTTAGGTACATCACTTAATGCATTCTGGAGAGTGCTCAGCTATGAAGGTGATGAGGAGGGTAATATAAGAACTACTTTAGAATAGGATCCTTAAGAATGTTTCTCCCTCCCACCCCATGTTCATATTGCTCTTCCATGAGCACCCTCCAATTTGTCAATATCTTAGTTGGAACATACCCAGAACTGATCATGGTGTTCCAGGTGTGCTCACATTGAGCCTTTATAGAGAACAGATATTGCCTTATGTGTTGTGATGCTGCTTCGTATACAGCCTGAACTCATAGCCGCCTTGTTGCCACACTTGTCTTATTTGCTGTCAGGCTTCGCTCTCGCATCTGAGCATTATCTGTTTTGTGGGTTTCTCCCAGTTTTCCAAGCAGAATCCTGTTTTATTTTTTGCCTGTGTCCAGGCCCTTTTTGTTAGGTCAGTGTTTACGCTTGTGTCCAGCTCCTCCTAGTTTAATGTCATCTGCAAACTTCAAACCATAGGACATGGTTCCAATCCAAGCTAAAGTGAATTAATTTTTCAAGTGAGTGTTCCTTACATACTATCAACTGCTTTAGTTAAATCAAAATATATCTACTGCATTCTTTTCGTCTACTAACTTTGTGATTTTAAAAAAGCAGTTAAGCTTGTCTGGTCAGATTTATTCTTTACTAACCTGTCAGACCATTTGAGTTAAGCAAAAGCTCCCATTCTTACCCTCCTCTTTCACCTGTTATGATCTGTGAATCCCAAACCTTCCTCTCTGCCTGATAGACAGGGCATATCAATCATGTTCATTAATTTTCTCCCAGATATATTCAGTGCCTTTGTCCAAATTGAATCTCAGTAATTGAATGTTTAATTAAAAAAAAACTCATAAAGGAAGATTAAATTTTGGATCTGAATAGGCTGCCTGTGTGTCACTGAAATTGCTGAAGGCCGAGAATAAATACAGGGTTATATTTACATGTGAAATGTGTAAAATGCTAAATCATCATTTTCTCTGATCCTTAATATTTCTTTGTACTGCAGGGAAATCTACTTTGTATGGCAGCCTGACATGCCAGGGAGTAGGCTCAGATGGGATTCCAGAGATCTCAGCCTCTGAAGGATTTGTTGTAAATGAAATAACCAAGGTACTCTTATTTCAGTGTATTTGTATGTTTGAAGGGTCAGCAAGTAGCTAGTACTCAAAATTAAAATGCTACAGTCAATCACTAGTGTGATGCCAGCAATACAGTGTGCTCTTCCATGTACTGCCTTATGATCTAAACTTTAGCGTAGAAAGTGCTTAACAATTTTTCCTGATTAGACATGGTAACTGCACTAGTTGAATTTAGTTGCATGTGGTCAGTTTTGGACCAGTGTCTTCTAGACATGAAAAGAGGCCATCAAACTTTTTTCATTTAAAATCTTTAATCTTAAAATAGGATCTTAAAAGTGAAAGGCCAAGTACTTTGTCCACCTAGGTGTACTGGCACTTAGCTACTACTATGAGGAATGCTCTCTAAATATCCTGAAGTTTGGTGGTGTGTGACCAGGCTGTGGATTATATATCTTTTGCGGCAAGATAATGAGTCAGTAAAATGAGCAGGTAGGAGGTGAAGGGATAGTAAGGATGTATTATTTTTAGGAGATTGTTTTCCATCTGTACATGCACGTAAGACATGACTGTAAATGTTATAGTTCTGTACAATTAATTCTAACAACATTGTAATCTTTTTCCCCCCACTCATTTAGAAAAGCATACTCGTTTCTTGCCCTCATGAAAATGTTTCCACAAAATTTTTGGCACCATACACAAGCTTTTGCAGAATTCATCAAAAAAGTGTAAGTAATCTTGCTGAGTGATTAGAGATGCATGGAGCTGAATGTTAATAACATTCTTTATCTGTCTGCAATTGTTGCAGACCAGTGAAGCAAATGGAGTGCAACGTGCCTTTGTATAGAAACTTAGCAACAAACTAGTCTAATCAGGTTGGAATTAAGTTAGTATTTCCACTTTCTATCTTTAAACTTGGTCTCTCCAGTTCATTAAAGGAGTGGTGTATGAAAACAATCCAAAGTAAATTCTGCAATCCTTTGGGAAGCTTAAAATAGAGATCCCTTTAGTTATATGGAAGAATAGGGTGCTGTTGCATTTTGCTGCCTTTTGTGTTTTTTGGGTCACCTGTAAATCTAATCGAATCGTAGTTAAATTCCATCCAACAGCCCCCCAAAGTACATGAAGCAGTCACATATGATGCAGAGAGGCACTTGGTTTTCTTGGTAAAAGGCTCTGGAATCCTTGGTCCCTGGAATCCTTCTCGAGATCCAGTTCTACTGTGACAGCTACAAGGAACTGACCAGCTATAATAAAAAAGGAAAAAAAACAAACTTTCCAGTGACGTAGAACCATCAGATTTTCACTTTCCTTATTGTTACATTATTTGAGTTTTGTTGCATATTAATGTCATGTCATCAGGGCAGGGACCATATTTTCCTGTACGCTTGTTTGTACAGTGCTTAGCACAAAGGGGCTCTGGTCCTAACAGCGGCCTCTGAGTACAACTACAGTACCTATAATAAATCATAGGAAAGCATCGCTCTTTGACAACTGGGTGCTTCACCGCTTTGACAGGAGCGGTTCTGTGGATCAGCAGAGTGCCACTGGATCTACTGCAATGATTCATGAAGTAACTACATCAACGGCACTACATTCACCCTACACGGGGACCATGCTACTCCATATCCCTTCTTTCAATAACTGGGCTCCAAAAAATATCACTTTTGGCCCACTTTCCCATGGAGGCAGCATGGTCTAGTGGTTAAAGGACAAGACTGAATCAGGCAACAAGCATTTGTTTTTTACTGGGCCACAGTTCCTGTGTGACCATGGGGAAAGTCACTTCACCTTGGTGCCTTGTTGTGTGTAAGTAAAAGGGGAGATTGAGATGCTTTATTTGTTGTTCTAGTAGCACTCAGAGACCCCAGTGAGAACAGGGGCCCAATGTGACAGGTCCCGTACAAACATACAGGGTGACCCGGTACCTGCCCAAAATGTGGGAAGGATGCCTTTCTCCCACAGTCTCCTCTGGCTGGCTCTTGTTTTCTCTT